CTGAATGCGTGTGTGTGAGTTTGGTAATTGCGAAAGTTGCCAGCGAAGTTTGTCAGTTATAAAGGGAATTCATATGAACGCACACACTTCTACACTGAGGGTAAATGAGGTTGAGGGCGATGTAGTCTTCCTTTTGTTCAAATAAATACTTAAAAAACATAAATAAATTTGGATAGTTTTTAAACATTTGCTCTATTTGAATACTTCATGTAAATATTTATATTTCCATCATTTTTTTGCAGTGCCTGAGCTGCATTGGTGTGTTATTTTTTATGCGTTGACTGTGCAAAGAAAAGTGCAGAAATTGCAAACGACTTAAATAAGCAAACAGAAGCGAAAAGCTTACACACACTCTCACTCACACACACTCAGAGAGAAGCTGACACACTCCCACATATGCAAATACACCGTACATGAAGGAGGGTTCCTTTACGACCTCCTCTCCTCTTAAAAAAACACATTTTTCGCGCTTTGCTACTTAAATAAACTACTTTTTACTACTGACTGGCTTTTACAGCCGTTGTTCTTGTTCTTGTTGTTGTTGTTTGGGCCTTACTTTTTACTGATATTTTTATGTTTGGGGCATAAATGTTGTTGGCATTGTTGTTCTTCCCATTTTTTAGATGCTTACTAAGTTGAGCATTACTTTTGGATGACAACACTGTAGTTAGAAGTTCCATAAAACTCACACGAAACTCTGCCCTTTTAATTAATTGGTAAAAAGTAAAAATAAAGTTCTAGAGCTTGAAAAATCCTAAAAACTTTTGATAAAAACACGTCACCTAAATTGAATTTTGACTCTTTTATCGAAAAACGTTGCTGTTGGGTTCATCTAAATTTCAAATAGCTGCGACCATGTGAAATTTTAATTTCGCTCACAGCTGTCCACAGGTAAAAAGTGAACCCAACCACTAACCACATTTTTGCTCTCAACTTTTTTCTAGAAAAAATGTGGATCGCTCCGAAGAGCAACAAATCAAAGTGCACTTGAATGAATTTTTCATTGTTTTTGCTATCGGGACAACTTTAAAGTTTAAACTGTCCCCCCGGCGGACATCTAATCAGTCAAAGAGTTGGACCAACTTCGGTCCACTGCACCCACATAGTCCCCGCCTGCAATTGTAACTTTGAGCCCGGAGTTTCCTCCGATTGCGTAACTTTGGGGGGCTGTTAAAAAACCCAACAACTGGCGGCTTTCCAACTCGACTTCCAAGTGCGTTTGACAGTCGTTCGAGGGCTGAAAGGCAGAGGCCTCAAACAATTTTCACATTTGTCCTGGATAAAGCGGAAAAAGGGGTCTTTCCACTTTCAGAGAGGTCAGCGTCATGCTGTAGAATATGTCTTTGAAGGACCAACTATCAAACTAGTGTTACAATATCATGAATAGTTTTAAGCTTAAGGACATCAAAATACAAATATGTTAAATAAATTTAATTTCCTTTGTAAATCGCGCTAGAAGTTTCAAAAGTGGTCCTATAAACCACACAACCACTTTCTTTTCCAATTGACTAGCAAGAGAAGGTCCTTAAATTGTTATCCTATTAGGAATAGCGGTTGCCTTTAGTGAACCGATTTAGGCACTCGTAATTAAGCTGACCACACTGCCATCGGTGCGCCTAGCCAAAAACCACAGAAGCGTCAACGACACTTGCGGGTGGGCCATTTGGCGAGGGAATCGGTGAGAAGCAGGCGAAAAGTGCGAGAAAAGCGGGAAAATTAGTGGGGATACGAAGCTTTTACTGTTGCCCTGCGCACTTAATTGGAATGCACTTGAAGTGCTCCTGCAGTTGGAACAGAGACTGCTGCAAAAAATTTCAAGCACTCGCCGGCGAATTGGCTGACGATTTTATTTCCTTTTCACCACCCACAGGGCCAATTACCAAAGATCGGAATTACCACAATCCCCCAGCAGTTGGCAACTTGGCCAGCGAAAAGATGAAGTTGGTTAAGGAAGAGGAGGGAAAACCACTTGCCATAATCCTTTTCAATCAACTACGGCAAATCAGAGAATCAGAGCGTCAGAGAGTCCTGGAACTGGAATCAAATTCCATTTGATTTCGTATTTATATTCAATTTATTCTAGATATTTGCTGCTCTATGCAGCATTTTCCACTTCGATTTGCTTTCCTTTGGCTTGGCTTGCGCTTTTTTGGCCTTCGCCTTTGCCAAAAGGGAGATGGAATCAAGCTCAAAACTTGTGCATTTCATTTTTGTTTAGTACCAAATTGAATCGGATTCGATTGGGGAGCTGCAGAGCTAGTATCAGATAGGTTTTTCCCAACTTTAACTCAGATGCTGCTGCTGCTGCGGCGCGCTAATGTAATGTAACAGAAGAAATTGCCGCATTCTGATCCCATAATTTATGGGCTTAACCAGCCCACAGCCATTTTAAAAATCGCTTAGCGTTCTGGCACAAATGAAACATCAAAGATTTACGAGCCATGATTAAGGCATTTTGCGGCGCCCTAACAACAAAAGTGCTAGAAACAACGGCTGGAAAGCGTGGAAGCCTCAGCATCTCGTCCTTCTGGAAAGGGGGTGAGTGCAAGTGTTTCTGGGTAAAGTGTTGAGCTGAAAGTGAAATTCCCCTTTTTATTTATTGAATGTGTTAAGCAGAGGGAGACTACTCGCAGGGAGGGACTACTCCTTTCACTCTGTCAGTTACTGAAAGTGCTCTGCTATCCAGCACGCTGTGAGTAATTGTTCGGTTTAATTGTGAGCTGTGGAAACGTAGGGAAAATAAAATGTCTTTGTCACTTTTTTTTCACTCGTCGTATTCTCTTGATCGATCGAAATTTAAAGTCAGTTTAAAAGCAATAAGCACAGAAGTGGGTCAGAAAAGAGGCCCTGTATTAACGTGAAAGATATTGTTGCCTACTTTTAGGTATATCATAAAATAAAAAAATTTCATAAAATTAAAAATCTAGAAAATTCTCAGAGAACTTACTTCTGCAGACTTAATCTAACTAAAAATTCTGTAAAGTACAAATTAAAGTAATTCCAGTTTTAGGGATTTGCCACACGTCTTAGTTGAGCCCCAGTAAATCCACTCATTGTTCCAGGCCGACATAAGGACTTTATTTGTAATTAACATGAGCTTTGTGGGCTCACATCTTCGCCAGGGGCCATTACTCATGGTACTCTTTAATTATGCTGGCCAGAGACTTTCCTCCACTTGCTCAATCCAGTCGAAAATCACTCCATGTAACATCAAGCCATATCGTTGCCTGGGTGTGAGAACCCAATTAAGAGGCGCTTATTGCAGGGCAACACCGAAGTCGATCCCAAAGCTGATAGCGTACAATTTGTGAGGGCATCTCTGGGGGATTCCCCCGGCCACAATCACATCAACTCTTGGGCGATTTGCATTTTTTGTTTATTTGCGGCGCGAATCCTTTGGAGGCTTATAGTTTTGTAATTGTTTCGGGACGGACCCCCGCCGCCTTTCTCTGCTATTTTTGGAGTGATTTCGATTGCGTTATCCCTACTCTCGGCACTGCTTTAAATTGCTGGGGGCTAGCACCGATTTTTATTCTGTATTTTTCCGTGTTTTTCTGTTTCTGCGCAATTTGCATTTTGCGAAACGGCGGGAAATTGGGCGCTCCGGAGCGTGTGAATAATGTGTGAGCTTACCCAGCTTACTGGCTCCGAAATCCGGAGGCTGCCACTCGGGAGCCGTTCCAAAATGATTTGTAGGCATTTTAATCTAATTAATGTTGTCGCGATGGAGGCATCAGAATACACTGGAATGAATTTCATTTTATTAAAAATTGTATATAAAAATATCAAATAAAAAATTTTGAAAAACAAGTTTTCATTCCTTTTTATATTCCTTCTCAATTATACATTTTGGTTTATAATTTGATTAATTATATTTATCCCTTTTTAACCCTTTTTTACTCTGTATTGCGAAGCAGAAAATGTGACGTGGAATCCTAAAAATGCACATTTGCGCCCCATTGCTAATTGTCTAGCCAGTTTTGTTCCTCCTGTTTCGCCCTTCGTCCTTCGTCCTTCCTTCATTTCTTGCACTCTTTAACTTTGTTCTTACCCAGCCATTACGCGCACTTGTCGTCGGGGTTGTCATTATGCTTTCATGGCTTTAGTTTTGCCCTGGCCATAAGTTTTCTAAAAAAATAAGAAATATGAATACAAAAATGGCCAAAGGGTGTTTGGGGGGTGCTAGGTGGTGGAAAGGAGTCAACTGGAGCGAAGCTGCTGATGTCTTAACGACTTTCTGGCAAATAGGAAAAGTTTTGGACAACTCTTTAAATCTGTTTTCCTCTATTGCTAAAATGGGAAATAAAAACAACAAATCGCTTTGGATTCTAAACTGAAAACAAGGATTTGAAAATAATTACAGACCCTTAAGCAACCAATGAAATTCTTTTACTTTCTTCACTCTTAAAGATCCACCATGCCCTAACATATAATGCATTGAAATTAAATCTTTGAAAAGGGCATCACATAATTTGAACTTGCTGAAGTTTGTCCCTTTAATTAAAACACTTTTTTAGTTATTTATTTTTAAGAAAGTTATCATAATCGACCCCATTTTTGCCTCGTAATATCATTCCTTGCATTTATTTTCGCACTCCTGAATGCTATCGAAGGCAGCTCCATCGGTATCACATGCAATGAAGGTCCTTACTGAACACTCGTTGCTCCAAGGTCTGTATCCAATTTTCTTTACTATGGAGTTACATACCCCGACGGCATATAACACGTTATCGCAAATGGCTAACATTTCAAAATACATTCATTGGTTTAAAGTGTCCCACTAATAAAGTTAAAGTTACTTACGATCTTTCACAGCCCAAACAGACCCAAGTAAGGAACAAAGTAAGAAGGCCATTGAGGTTAGACGCATCCTAAGATCTTTTCAGCTTGACTGGCAGGGAACGACTTAAAAGCTGGAATACCAAATTAGTTTTCGTTTGTTAATATATAATATTAGCCACGGCTAATTAAATTTTTCGAAGCATTAAAAGACGTAGATAGAGACGTAATAAGGCTTCTTTATTAACCCTTTTGTTTAAATCTTTCAGCTTTACTCCTTGCACTTAGCTTCGCAGGCTTCAATACTATCGAAGAAGGTCCCTTCGGCGTAACATCCAGCAACGCCCTCTGTCCTGCAGAAGTTTTTACTGGGCGTGTAAACGATTTTTGTTATCCACATTTTGCACAGGCCGACGCCTCGATACTTAACACCGCAGCTTGCTAAATTAAATGAAAAATAAAGTTTAATAAATAAAAAAAATTTCCTCTGGTTATACTCACGGTCCTTTAAGGCCATTACCAACCCACATAGGGAAAACATTAGGCAGACAATGGAAAATAGTTGCATTTTAAGACCTTTTATTTTTGACTTTCAGGCAACGACTAAAAACAAAACCACTTAAGAAACTCTTTTTCATTATTAATATTGATATCCGTTACAAATATACTTTAAATTAGGAATTTTCATGCTTATTAAAAGACAGAATCACCTTTTCATAGAACCTTTTTATTGTAAGTAAGTTTTTAAGTAAGTTATATAACATTACTCCTTGCACTTTGCTTCGCAGGCTTTTATACTCTTAAAGAAGGTCCCTTCGGCTGAACATCCACTAATGTGCACTGTCTTGCAGACGTTTTCACTGGGTATGTAAACGATTTTTGTAATCAACATTTTGCACAGGCCGACGCCTCGATACTTAACACCGCAGCTTGCTAAATGAAATGAAAAAGAAGTATTAATACTTGCTAAATATTATACTTCGACTATGCTTACGGTGTTTTAGGGACAAAACGCAACTGAATAGGAAAAATATTAAGCAAAGAATGGAAAAGAGTCTCATTTTTGGTGTTCTTGGGGCAGGAGTTAAACCTTTTCTTTTGACTGACAGAAGAAGACTAAATGTGAGTATTTTTTAGGTATCTTCCACTGAAGAATTGCTTTGTGGCCATTACTAGCAAAAGTCTGCTAATTATACCCGCTATTCATGGAGTTCAACGGCCCATTGTTTTCCTGCCAATTCATCTTGCAACAGAAACAAAACACTTGTTTAAACTCCATCTCTGGCAATTTTAATTGTTTTTTATATATAAAATAATTTAATATTACATTCCCCTGTACACACCCCCTTTATACCCTTTCAGTACACTTTTCAAGATCTACTAATATTCCTTGTATATTAAATATATTTTTTATGTTGCCAATTTCCTTTTCTGTTTACTTCTTTTTGATGGGGATCGAAAACAATTCCATGTGGATTTCCCCTGACTTTTCGATTGAAAGCGAGCATTTGATACGCAATTTCAATAAGCAGATGATAACAACACTTAACCCCCCTACAGCCTGCCCACCTGCTACCCCATTCAACCCTCGACAACCAGGTGATTGTCTTTTTCGAGTCCCGGGGCATTATTGCGAAAAGCTTTGTGCAAATTTTCTCATATTTCCTCGGTAAGCTCTCCTCGAGGACAACCCAGCTCAAGACGAAGAAGGCAAACAGCATAAAGCAAATATAAATATGCTAAAGGGGGAAAATTCGAGAAGAAAATACATTCCTATTTGCTTTTTATACCTACGTTTTTTGCCTTTCGCCCCAGTAATTGTTATTTGATACACACAAAGAGCGAAAAGTCGTATTATTTCGCTTTCGGCACATTTGCACTGGCTACACTGCACTGCCAAAAAGAAGGCTTAGAATGCCAAACGCTGCGTTGCCATGAATGTTTTCTATTAAGGCCAAGTCCGGGCCATAAGCGAAATTCAATTAAAAACTTCAAAAGCCTCCTAACAATTTCCAACTGCAATTAGATGAGAGAAAACACAAACACACGCTCACTGATTGCACTGAGAACCAGATACAAATGCAATATGTACAGATACAGATACACGAACGCAGCTGAGATACAAAAACTTCCCTTTGGCAAAGTTTTAGCTATTATGTAACAAAACGCAGCTGAAGGCTGCAAAACTGCAATCCATACGCCGCCCCTCGCCAATTTCTATAGCATCTGGCCCAGATTTGGAAAAACTATTCCAATGGCTACACTAAAACTGAAAGTTATTTAAATGGCAAGCTTAGAAGTGCATTGGATTAAGTAATACTAGGAATTGTTTAACGAAATATCTAAATAAGTTTCATTTTTAGGGAATATCATTCTCATTTTAAGATATTTTGTTAAACTGATAACAGAAAACTTTGCCTCGATGTGCACTGTGAAAACTTGTAGTCATAGAAAAGAACATATCCTCTCTGTTTCTGGTAACCTAACTTAATTAGAAACTTTACATAAACAAACTCAGTCCAACTTTAAATGAAAAGATGGAAAAGCAGTTGATTATGATGATGAAGATACACAGGCTTATCAAAGTTGCTGAGCTAGAAAAGAACTTATGAGTGGGTTGTGTTGGTTAATAATAATTATTATTCCACAATATTTCAAACCTTGCTTAGAGTTATGACCACTTTGAATAAAGACCTGACTAAAGGGATTTGTGTTTATTGACAAGTTTAAATACCATTTGTTATTTTTTAATCGGCTTTGTAATGTTTAATTCCATAGATATAGTTAGAGTTATTACAGTCTCGTAAAGTTAAATCGGAATATTTTTGATTTTTATTGTCGATTGGCCCGACAAGCTGCTGCCAACTGACCTCCCACTGAATCATAGATTAAAATTGTATTTCTCTGGGTGATTTTTATGGCGATTTGATAGCCTCGAAGTGATAAATAATAATAACGTCAGAAATAATTGCCAGCCTCGCATTTCCACTCGTGAATGCTTTAAAGTCCCGACAGGGAAATGGGTTGGGAAAGTGTGTTATCCCGTTGTTCGATTTATTACCCCCTCAACTCTTCATTTTGTCATTTGTTATATGTTTGCCAGAACGGATTTATGTTGCCCCTGTCAGGGGTTTCATTATTATTTGTTTCCCAAACCCATTTCACAGGACCCGCTCCCAGGACCCGCTCGCTCATTCGCAACTTTGCGGCATTTGGCATTTGCATTTTTATGGCAACACTTTCAGGGGCCGCAATTATTTCCCCATCTCGAGTCCTGCGAACCGAACATTTTATTGCTCCTGCATCCGCAGCCCCGTGTGCGGCCCTTTATCTCCTCGTTGTTCCGGCAGAGAGGGGTGCTGTTCGGCTGAGGACGAGGCATCAACAGTCATTTGGCAAATATATTGCAGTCACAACATCGCATATAACACATCAATATCCGGCACGGCACGGCAACGCCCACCCACACACACACATTCCGCCCCTTTCCACGATTTACACATAAACAGAAGCAATAAGCGAACGAAGGGCCAAGGACGAAGGCAAATTGAAAACGACAAAACAAAACTGAAACGCTGTGAAAATACGAGGATGCTGTGCCGAAATGTAGGTATTGTCATGTTCTGCTGGAATTGAGGGGAATATTTGATAAGATTTTCTATCTTTTTTCCAATTTGAAACAACATTTAAGATTAGGCTTAGGCTAGCTTTGGGAGTTTGGTGTTTTTGGAAAGAGGAAATTACTCAAAAAATCATTGAAAAGGATTTCTTATAATTTTTAATAAGTGCTAAGGACTGAGGAATTATCATTAATCCTTTTCCTTATTTAATTAAAAGTTAGATCACTAGAAATTAGAAATAGTCTTATATACCCTAAAATCCCTGTATGCCCCTTAACTGAAGTTCGAAGCGAGTAAAACAAAAACTTGCTGTAACGGATATCCGGTTTTTCAGCATCTGACGGAAGTTGTTGTCCCTCTCTCACACCCATCAAGAGAGTGGAGGTGGCGCACTGATAACTTCCCTTTCATTTTTGAGCCCGTATTTCGCTTTTTTTTAATTCTTTTCGCTCCGGCGAAGTGTTGTATGGACTCTGCAAGATCTTAATTTCGATATTGATGTCAAATTGTCGCTTGGTTTAATTAAAAAAAAAATCCACAGAGTGCAGGAAAAGTGTAAAAATGAAACAAGGCAACTGTGCTGGGCCCATTTTCTGTTGTGGGTTTTCCTTTTTATTTTTGCGCATTTCTGCATTGTGTTTTTGTCCCATAACTTCCGAGTGGCTCGATTTAAGGACCAACACGTCGTCGCCTGGTCCACACGGGTCCGGTTCCCCGTGCTGCAGCCTGAAAATACTTGCAGCTTAAAGATGCAGCATTTGACTACACAAAAATGCTAAATTTTAAGGAATTTGCCTTATTTGTGATGGAAAAAGAACATATTTCATTTGCGAAAACATGTGCTTCCAATAATTTGATTTATGTCCGATTGCCTACCACAAACTCAGCCACAAAAATTCCCACTGCAGATGTCTACGCAGCAGAGAATGCCTGACCCATATGCATACTATAAATTAATCCACATGAAAATGGTCCAATTCATCAGTGGCATTTGAGTTCATCCACAGCAATGCAGCATTCGATAGACTTTGGGATTTTTTCACTTGTGATTTCTGCTACCGAAAGTCCAACATACATTATTGATTATAATTTAAAATTTATTTTGCTTGCATGCCAGGAGGACGACTATGACGATGATGATGTTGCCAATTGTTTTTGGCTTCCGTTCATTGGGGAGCTCTGGCTTCCATTCTGTCTGCCATTTCAACGCCAATTCGCTTTGATGGGTAATGAATGATGCAGGGACTCGATTGTCGGTGCTATCAAATATTTATGAATTAAATGGAAAATCATCGAAAGGATAAGCCCATCGGTGTGGTGAAGGGCTATAATGGAGCATCCTATGATTGTTGTCGAAACAAAAGTAAACAAAGTTGTGAGGGAAAGAGATTCCTAGAATAGAAACAAAGGGTTTTATGAGTTCTGGCTGAGATCACATGGGTATTTAGCTGACTTGTTTTCAGTTTGGCCTTGTAAAATATTACTCAAAAGTGTTTTTCTCTCTTCTCGCATTTTGTAAACTTATCTGGAAGGCTGGGGAATACAATTAAGCGAGCGAAAATTGAAATACGCAATGTGCAGTCAACGAGGTATTATCCGAAATAGTACCACAAAAATATTCACACAAACTGCACACAAACTCGGGGCAAACTTTGTAAGTAGCCCGGCGAAAAGGACTTGGGCCGTGCCAAAGCAGCAGGATGCTGGAGTAACTTCCTTCTCGGCTTGTCGGTGTGCCTTAGTTGGTTTAACTGGTAATTGCAGTTTCGAGGGGGGCGCAAAGGCGAGAATTGCCCCAAAAAGTGGCCAAGAAAATGGGTTCGCGGAGGGGTATACTAAGGAATTATAGCCTCTGACCTCGGCAGCACAACTCAATTTTATTTGGATACTTTCGCAGGCCAATTTAATTTCTTGAGCTAAGTGCAGGGAGGAGCTAAGAAAGGCCTCTATTAAATGCTGTAATTCTGTAAGTTTACCCAAAAGATTGTCTTACAATTTTGACATGGACTTTCCCATATATCATATCCAGAATCCCTTCCAAATAATTGATTCAATTCTGTATTCCTGGCTCGTAAAACTATTTGCCAAAAATAAAAAAACACGAGGCTGGTGGAATGCTTGGACTGTGTCTCAGAAAAAAGTTCGAGCTGTAAATAAAATATAACCATTTGGCACACTAACAGTATGTGGCATGGAAATCGTGCCAAGCGAGGTCAAAATCTGACTCTCCGCTTTTCGCCCTTATTTTCCCGTCAGTCGCTTTGTCTGAGAGCAGCGTACGTGGACCAGAAAACGGGAAAAAAAATTTCCTCGCTCGGAACTGGCTTTAGTTGTGACCCAATAATGGCACAACAAAATGGAATCCCTTTACCAATTCATGTTGCAAAGTTGTTTCCCTGTTTTGTTTTCCATTTTTCCCATTTCTTGGCTGCCAGCCCTTTGAGGATGTTTCAATTGGGAGCTGCCGTCGAGAGCATGTGGCCTGGGTCATTAAAATCATATGCTGCCCTGGTCAAAAACTGGCAAATTGCTGGGAATCAGATAATGTTGGCTTGACAGCTAACCAGAAAAGAAATGGAAACAATCACGCACACTCTTGGCAGGATAAGAAGGTTAAGTTTGGGACGAGTTAGGCTGAAAGATACCCTTTAAAATAGGGAAATTTCTTTCTGAGATTGGTCAATATCAGTTGATACTCTGATTACTAATATTATTTCTGATCTGTTTTCCGTACAACAAAGTAGTATCTGACCAGGAAGAGGCACCTATAAATACACTTTCCCTTTTAGGCTTACACCACTTCGAAATCCCAATCAACCCCACTTACTGAGCCAGCTAAAGTAGCGTTTATTGTAATGGATGGGCTTTGTTAGAAACTTTCCAATATCTGTTGGTCGTCGGAGAAGGAGGAGGTGGGGTAAATTCCGCACAAATGTGCTCATGTTCATCCTGGCGAGGGTCGAGGGCAAGTAAGTGGAGGCCCCCGACATTATGTTTGTACCTCATTCTGTGGCCACACCCCCTTTTTGGCCATTAGTGGGCGGCGGTGAACCTGCTGCCCGGCGGTGTGCATTCAGTTTCATGACGTCATTAGCGTTAATGGCTGTCCATGTGCATTATGCACAGGTTTAAATATTCATTCTGAATTCATTTTTTGTTTAATGAAAAGTTACACGACCTGCAAATGAGCAGCGACTTGCATTGGAAATAATGAGCCATAAAGTGTTTGCCATTAAAGTTGCGGTCTGAAGATGGTAATGAGGTAGAGGGGGCGGTGAGTGCTGAATGCTGGTTTTTGGGTGTGGTTTTCCATTCGCCTTTCATCGAATAGTTGAAAGGATTTGGCCCGTCGTCATGACGGCCTTTGTTTCCACTCTGTTAGCCAACTGGAGATAAGGGATTAAGTTCCACGTGGCTTTCTGCGAGGATCCTGACTTTCCACGCTCGCCCTTATCAGCTCTGAACTCCTGGATTTCGGTTAGTCATTAATGAGGTGATGACACGAGTGTGGTGTGTGGGTTCCAGGGCGAGGGGGACATTTTCATGGCGTTGTCCTGACGGCATGCGATTTCATAATGAATTTAAGCCAAGCGATAACAATCTGTTGAGCTTGCGGAATTTTAAATAGAAGGTTGGCTTTCATGATTTCCCAAAGACAAGTTAAGATTACGAAATATGTTTGAATGGGGCTAAATTTAAGGTAATTTTATGGTAAGCCCTTTAAAAATAATTTATAAAACTAGAAGCTTATATGCTAGTTACATGTTCAGATCTTTATAACGCTGTTTACATGGGAAATACTTACTGCCCATATTCTCTTTTATAACGAACAGCAGAGTCGGTTTAATCAGCTGCTTGATTGGCATTAAACAGCTCATTGCGTGGACATCTAGCTGTTCATCTCCTCCTGCACTTTTATAACCCTTTTACGTTTAACACGCTTGCCACACTAGATGTTGCAGCTGAACATGGCTGCCATACTTCCTCTTTAAGTCCTCAAATGGCCCACTTATACTCCGAAGAGAAAGCCAACTTGCATGAGCTTAGTCAGCGCTTACACGCAAAACTCGCACACATCAGGCAGTCGGGGAAATCGTACCAGGACTACATTCAACGAGGCATGCAAAATGACACCGAAATGAAATGCGCAAACAACAGCGGTGAAACAGGGCCAGCAACTATTTGGTCTGACTAGGGCTTTAGTTTTAAATTATTCTGCGCAATTTTATTTCGGTCTGGCCAAGCCTTCCCAGAAGGTGTTAATCAAAAAGCCGCTATGTCCCTCATGATAAATGTTCGGACAGCCAAATACCTTGTGGGAGTGGGAGTGGCAGTGGTCAAGCCCTTGAGGTTTCCCCCTGTTCTGCATCAGGTTTTCCCTGGAAAGTTGGGTAATTTTGAATTTCGTTGCATAAAAAGTGGCAAATTAAGCCTTTAATATTCCCATAAACACCTAAAAGAGTCTAAATACCTTTATTATTTACCAAAAACTAGAATTTAACTTTAATTTAAATATGTTATTTAATGATTTGGGTCACATTAAAGTGCCAGTTTGTTTGCAGATTTACCAAAATTGGCAAACGCTTCACAAGAATTAATTCCTTTTCCCGCCACTTGAATTCCCGTTGGAAATTCGGTGATGCTGCCTGAGTTTGAATTGCTCATCAGCAATTGAACTAGTTCCCCAAATCGCACTCGAATGCCCGCAGTTTCATAAGTTCCGGCTTGGCCTTGTTTTGCGGTTAAGTCCCTATGCCACATGCCCCGAAAAGTATGCCACGTTGTTGCCGCTGCAAAATATCACTTTTTACGCTTTTTTGCTGCCTGCATTTTATGGCTCTGCACTGTGCGAGTGTGTGTGTGCAAGAGACACGTAGTGTGTGTGCGAGCGAGAACGGCATAGAGTAATTGTTACATGCATTCAAGTTGACTTGCTGCGGTTTATCTGCAGTCCAGCCCCCCTCTCAGCCCATATACATTGGCAATTTAATGCCACGACAATGCCATATTATTAGTTATCCCTGCCACCCCACTCTCCCCACCTCTAGCCCACTGCCACGCCCCCTGTGAAGCCGAGTTGTGCATAATAAATTAACCGCATGGCCGGTTCGAGTTTTGCTCATTAAAGCGCATTTGTATTTAGTTGTGCATAAAACATTAAGCGAAAATGAGCCAACGTGACCAGGACAAAGCTCGTGTCCTTCCGAAATGCTGCATGTATGTGCGTGTGTGTGTGTGTGTCTTGCATATTCGTACTGGTGAGCGTGCGTGTGCGTAATTACACATGTATCCTGGCTGGCCACTCGAAACGAACTCATTTCCATTCATATTTATACGGCAAAGTGAGAAGATTGCCATCGATCGTGGCATTCAACCAGCTCCTGGGGGATCCCCTGTAATTATGTGATTAAAACGCTCTCGATTGGTATTGATTTTAAATTGAATAAACTTGTAATTAAGAGAGAGTGCTTCTGACGGGAATGGGCCAAGGGATTTCATAGATTTGGGGCACAATATTCGGCATTGAGACAATGTAAAGTGTAATTGGTCATGTTTGCAGGAAAGAATGAATAGTAGATCCTCAATCCATTTGTTATATTTTTTAAAAATATCCTTCTCCCACTCCACAGAACAAATCGCCCCTCATATTATCGTCCCATAAGCATAACCATAACTTATCTCCTGTTTACGAATTCCATTCACAGACACAAAAAGCAGCCATATAGGAAAAGAAAGCCCTAAATGTTATGATAAACTTTATTGCTGGAGTCCTGTAGTCCATGGTATTATATGAATGAAAATGCAATTTATTTGCTAAATACCGGAGAGGAGGAGCATGACCTTACGAAAGCCACAACTTTTTTCTGCCCCGTCACATTTGCTTAGGCATTCAGTGGGAAAAACAATTTAAACTTTCATTACAGTCAACACATTTCGGCCCCACACATTTGGCCTCTTGGGCGACACTCATTCATAAATGCGTCGCTCTCCATGGGAGTGCGAGTGGGGTAATTTTCCAGCTGCTTCACATCCTTGAGCTCGCCTTCCTCCAGGGTTTTCGGTTGCTCTCCTTTTCATACTTTCGAAAACTTATTGTACTCTACTGAAGGAGTATGTAGTTTTTCTAGGGGATGTGAAGGAAAAGCGGATAGGTAGGGTAGGTCATAAAGAATGTGTGTCAGTTTGCAATATAAAATACTTTCAGAATTTAAAAAATATTAAAAAATCATTAAGCCGCGTAGAAGAGTATCTAAAATATCAGCACTTTTAAGCAGCTTTTTTTTCACCGTCTTGTGTGAAATTTGCCGGATTCTTGTGGCATCTACTGCAGTAGTAGTTGTAGTGGTGTTGAGTAATTTCCAGCAACATCTGCGGACAGCCTTTGCGTTTCCGCTTCCCTGGCACCCTTCTCCGACTTCCGCTTCCGCTTCTTACTTCTGCTGCTTGCTGCTTGCTGCTCGCCCTTATCATTATTGCTCATCAAGCGTTTCTAATGAAGTCGTAAAAATTGAAAACTTTCAAAGCATGTGAGCGTGTCCTTTATCTCCTTGCCACCCGCCCCCTACCATCACCCCCAGTCTCCATGTCCTTTTTGTGGCGTTGCGGCTTATGTGTTTTGCTTTATTGCCTTCTCCTTGTTTTGGTACACTTTCCCGCCCGTCATTTTAGCCAGGCTTTTTTTATGTCTGCCCCGCCATTAAATGTTTATTTTTCAGCGGTTTTCCCTCGCTGTCTTTGGATTCCGTTGTATACTTTCCGCATTTGTTGTGCAAACTCATATAATCAGCTTTAAGCTCTCTATGCCTGCAGCTTTATGGGCTGGCACACGCCAGCAAATATTTGCCAGCAAGCTCGGCTTGTTTGTTCGGTCTCGACCGCTCTCGATTTAATGCTAATTTGGTGTTTCAGTCTCGTAAATAATTACAATTGCCCTAGGAATTGTTTAATTTTAGTTTGGCTGCGACACCTGTGCAAAGCACATCCATGCTGGTCTGCAAATACCAAAATGATTATCTTAATTAAAGGTGTCAATTTACATTTGCAAATTTGTATTAGTTTTATGCTAACTTCATTTGCAATTATTTTGTCTCATTTTTGTGGCTGTTTTGTAGGAGACATTAAAGTAGATTTAAGATCTGCCTTACCTAAGCTTCTTTTGTCACAAAAATGTCACTTTTTATTGAAACTTTTTATAAATTATAAATCTGATCATCTAAATTTTAAGTTCCAAATCAAGGAAGTTCCTTTTCCTACCTTCGCTATGGTGTGTCGCTTCAATCCGTTTTACATTGGACCCACGCCTCCGAGTTGCTGTACGGATCTTAAGCCCGAATGCGATGCCCAACTTGCTCGCCAGATACAGGGTATCAGGAGCCTCGACCTGTCAACGAAGAGTGCGGCAAGGTGACCAAAAAAGAAGCCAAGGAGAGCAAATGTGTTCCTCCGTGCAAGGAAGCCCCCAAGAAGGAAAAGAAGGATAAGTCCGAGAAGAAAGATTCTAAAAAAACTAAGAAAAATTAATAAATGTTTTTATAAAAATATTTAACATTCTCTTTAAAATATATTAAATTTAATTATGAGATCCAAGACTTGGCTTAATAAAATTCAATTACACTCGGCTCATACATACAAACATGAATCCATCTATGGACCATATCAAATCAAAGTCAACCGCAAATATTTTCAAATTGAATTTTCCCCATAAGAAAATGGCAAGAACATGAAGATGCGGCAATAAAAACTCAATAAAAGGCAATAAAATACGTATATAGAAAAATATGGCAGAGCAGCAGACTACAAACAATTTGTACAAGTTAACGTTTTCTCTCCAAAAGAATTTTCTTTCTTCATCTTTATTTTGCCGCTCTGCCCGCTTTTCCGAGTCCTTTGGCTCTATGGAGCTCACTAATTTCATTTGCCACCCACTTTCCAAGGCGCCTGAAAGGGGAGGAGAGCTTGTAATTGATTTCATTAAATCATTTGCCAAGCCAAGGAGAACGCAAATTGTTAGACAATAGGAAATTACTGAATTAGACCCGTTTTTCCCAACTCCTTTTCCATTTTGACAAGGAAAATTCAGGCAGAACAACGTGTCCTACCAGTTATTGCATGTGTAGCGCATTTTTCTTATTTTTCGATTTCCCATTTGCATTTTTCTTTTGCATTTGTTCAGCTATTTGCTTGCGGCTACTCAGTCATAAACATTTTTCTTTGCCAATTTCCGTTGGAAAATGCAAAAGCGGGAAAAGGATATTCAGAAACTGGGGCTTCAGTTGTTTACTGAAGTTCAGTTAGTACTGGCAAGTTCCATATTCCCAGAACTTGCCAGTATTGATTTCAATAAATATAAATATAAATATATCAATATAAATTGACTTTTTAAGTGTGGTACACAGTTCGACGGGTAATTTAAATACGAACTCAACAAGATATAACATTCCATGATACGATCATATTTGGCTTTGTAATGAGGAAAATACTGATATTTTGAGACTCAAATCGGGACAGAGCGATTTTCGCATGTTTAGAAAGGGGTAACATCATAAAATTTTACGAAAAATATGAAAAAATGGACTTTTTAAGTGTGGTACACAGTTCGACGGGGAATTTAAATACGAACTCAACAAGATATAACATTCCATGATACGATCATCTTTGGCTTTGTAATGAGGAAAATACTGATATTTTGAGACTCAAATCGGGACAGAGCGATTTTCGCATGTCATAAAATTTTTCGAAAAATCTGAAAAAATGGACTTTTTAAGTGTGGTACACAGTTTGACGGGGAATTTAAATACGAACTCAACAAGATATAACATTCCATGATACGATCATCTTTGGCTTTGTAATGAGGAAAATACTGATATTTTGAGACTCAAATCGGGACAGACCGATTTTCGCATGTTTAGAAAGGGGTAACATCATAAAATTTTACGAAAAATCTGAAAATATTGACTTTTTAAGTGTGGTACACAGTTCGACGGGGAATTTAAATACGAACTCAACAAGATATAACATTCCATGATACGATCATCTTTGGCTTTGTAATGAGGAAAATACTGATATTTTGAGACTCAAATCGGGACAGAGCGATTTTCGCATTTTTGGAAAGGGGTAACATCATAAAATTTTACGAAAAATCTGAAAAAATGGACTTTTTAAGTGTGGTACACAGTTCGACGGGGAATTTAAATACGAACTCAACAAGATATAACATTCCATGATACGATCATCTTTGGCTTTGTAATGAGGAAAATACTGATATTTTGAGACTCAAATCGGGACAGAGCGATTTTCGCATTTTTGGAAAGGGGTAAAATCATAAAATTTTTCGAAAAATCTGAAAAAATTGACTTTTTAAGTGTGGTACACAGTTCGACGGGGAATTTAAATACGAACTCAACAAGATATAACATTCCATGATACGATCATCTTTGGCTTTGTAATGAGGAAAATACTGATATTTTGAGACTCAAATCGGGACAGAGCGATTTTCGCATGTTTAGAAAGGGGTAACATCATAAATTTTTTCGAAATATCTGAAAAAATGGACTTTTTAAGTGTGGTACACAGTTCGACGGGGAATTTAAATACGAACTCAACAAGATATAACAGGATAAAGGATATTCAGAAACTGGGGCTTCAGTTGTTTACTGAAGTTCAGTTAGTACTGGCAAGTTCTGGGTATGTGGATTGATTTCAATAAATATATTCTTATCTTTTTTGGAGTGTCATATATTCTGTAATATTGCGAAGAGGCGGGAAATAGGGCACAAAATATCTTTGAAACCTACTTCTTGTATTGCATACTTTTCGGCAGTCTTATAAATTACTTCCTGGAATTAGGAATATTATGTTAATAATAACACATGGCCTGTTAAAAGTTTACATAAATCAAAGAGCTGTACGTTGCAGTGCCCAAAAACATTCTTCCTTCATTCAGTAGTTTTATTTCCCTTTAATATGCCGCCATAGTCAGTTTCCTTAAATTTCCTTTCCAGTTTCGTAGCTCATGTGTCACCGACATTGTTATCCTTTCGCTCGGTGGCTTATACCCGTCGCTTCGCAAATGGAATACGTATTTTCTTTCTCTCTTCTTTGGAATCTCAGAATCTCAGCAGCTCCGAAAAGCCAAAAGAAGCTCCTTCTATTTGCTTCCTTCGGAGCACTCGGCCATATCCACTTGGCCCCAATGGCGTCTTGGCCATTATATATGCAAAGCGATGCAAATGCTGGCCGGGCTTCATTTATCATTGACGCTGACTTTTATGCAAGCCATAACTTTGGGATGCGTCTGGGCTGGACATTGATTTGACTGGTGGATCGGAGCCGTTGAGTTTCCACTTTGATTGGACTGGATTGATGGCTTCGGAGCGTGTTTGTCGTTCTCGCCCCTTTCGTTTCCATTAATTAGTCTTGTAATTGGCATCAGGTGTCGTTCCGTTGCCGCCTTTTCATTGTTGATCCCTGAACTCGACTCCGGTATTTACTGGCAATTGCGGCTAACGATTTATTTGCATACAATCATGCACTTCGATTCTGCTTGTGCTGCTGAACTGAAGGGTTTGCCCGAGTGTTTGCTCTCCAAGTAGCTAATTAGTTGAGCAAATTTTGCATCGTTTGACTGCGGAAGCGTGGCCAAGGGGGATTTATTGGTCCAAGGCTTATGGTTTATGCTTCTCGAAGAGCTTTTCAATCAATAAATTGGTTTGTAATTAAGCTATTTCAGGTATTAATGCTAAAAGTAGCCAAGCTATTATATTTTCAATCCTTATTGTTAAGGGAAAACCATTACCGGTTTCAAATCATCTTGATTAACTGACTTTATGGATAAATTAAATTAAAAGTGAGCTTATTTTCTATGAATTAAAGTAGAAGAAGCATTTTCTATAGTAATTGGACATCGCAAGTGCCATAATTTTATTCGTTTACCTTAAGCCAATTGTTGCTCCAGTCATGACCCCAAATCGGGAATTCGTTTTATTGTCGTCATTATTTATGCATATGGCAGTCGGCACTCGACTGTCGGCAGAAGATGGAGTATGGGGATATAAAATAAAATATTAAATGCCACTATAAATTTGCCCAGCTCCAACTATAAATAGCTGTCGAGCCACTTGAAGCAACATTCGCAAATTATGTATACACGCCGTTGGCCTTGGTGTGGCGTTAAGTGGGTGGTGTTCTTTGGACGGTGGGTAGCGGGTGGTCGTGGCAGAGTGCTGTGGCAGCTGTGGTCCGGACCAAGGACAAACATTTTTGGTAGTGGCTTGTTATTCCTGCTCGTGCGTGTGTTAATGCCAACACGTCGCGCTGTGTTTGCGTCTTCATGCTTTCCAATTAAGTCGGGAGATAAAACAAAAGCTGGAACAAAGGTGGAAAGCCAGGCGAAAGTAAAGTTTCCCCTCGCATCTCGGGACAATGCCGTTGACTTGCCTGTAGTTTTGGCTTTGGGTTTGTTTGTTGTCCTTTGCTATTTGTTGCCTGTCAAAACAACTTTACTTGGGCGGCCATCAAGCGTGGCGAATGAGCAAAACATTGCCTGCTTTCGGGCGCTATCCGAGTAGTTAACTTTGCGGAGATTGCGAATGCGAAATGGAAATCGATTGAATGGCAGCTTGTATCGCAGGGCATTGATGCCACATACGCACATAATTAAGCAGCTTATGTAAGAGATTGTTAATCATGGCCAAGAATGACTGAAAGCCACCCAAACTTAGCCTATAACACTGACCGTAAATTAATGCAGCTCTCGGAACCAAATCATAAGTACGAGCGATCGGAAAATTGGTTTCCTAATAAGCCAGCAAGGCTGTCTTCGTCGGAGTAAATATTTCATATTTCTGTTAAGCCATGGCCTTGATCAGTGTCTTTTAGTCTTGGGACACCAATAAATAATGTCCCTTCATAAGTTCACTTCCAATTATCTTCCGTAAACATATGTGCCAGCCTCTCACTTAACTTAATTATTTGAAAAATAATATTTTTGCAGCCTACGCACTCATTTAACGGTCATTAAATGTTAATCAATTCGGTTAAGAGGGGTGCGATTTTTCGGCTGATGAGTTCCTGTCCTTGGGGATTCGCTGATGTTGAACAGGGCAGAGTGAAAAGTAAATGATGTACTTAGAAATTAAGTACTCGAACAAATGTAAGAACTGTTTTTCTTTTTTGGCAATAACATTTTCATCAGCCAAATAAAAGTTCAATCAATCATGAAGAGAAGAGTAAAACCATCTTATTGTAATTTGACTTCTTATTGGCCGCCCACAATAAGCAAATAAAAGAACCAAATTAAGCTAAGCGGATTTAGATATCGATTACGCACACATACACACATACTTACAGACAAAACAAGTGAGAGGGAAGCTGGGCCAGAGCGAGAAACAAATTTTGTCGCGTCAGTTTGCCAACTTTTTGTGCGAATTTTAATTTTAAGCTGATTTATATCTTGTTTTCCTTTTTCGATTTAAAAGATGAAAAAAGTTGTATAAACTGGATGTAAATAATGAATATAATACAGCCAAGAAGACCAAAAACAAGATCATAGATTTTTTAATTAAATTAAATGACTGTCTGGCTTTAAGAGGGCTCATACTTCATATGCCTCAACCTTTCTAGAGAGCATTTCGTGTTCGTATATCGGGCTCATTTTTCTTACGGAAATTCTTACAATGTCCCGATGTCAAGAAAGCTGACTTGGTAATCCGCTTATGTGTGCAAATTTGGTGCGAACATTGAATAATCAGTCGCGCCGACAACAGCCAACAATAATAAATAAGTCATTTGCATTTGTTCCCAGGATGAAAAGGCGAGATTAGGAAAAGTCCTGTTTAAGTTCGAGAATAAAGGGAAGTTTGGGGCGATGACTAAAGGCAGTAATTGATTGATAAGGAAATAGGAAAAGGTATAACCAGCTATGTCATGTGCTATATTTCTTCTGTGTTAAGTCCTAACTAGGCAGAGTAACAGCTTTAACTTGAAAAACTTAAACTGTTTTTAAACTTTTATGCTGCTGCCGCTTCCCAGTAACGACAATAACACTTGTAGTCTTTATGCACTCCACTCACTAAAGTGTTCTTAATTATGTTGCCGGCGACAATCTGGAAGCGACAGCCTCATTACTTAGGCCGGACCACGTGCAGGAGGTAAACAGCATAAGACCCGAAAATGATTAATGCATGAACTCAGTAGGAAGTAAAAAGTACATCAAAAAACTGACTGAAAAAATGAGAGAGTACAACTTTGAATACCCTGACAGGAGCATAAAAGTTGTTTAAAGATTCATATTCCGCCTTTAGTATGCCAAAAAGGTTTATGTCAGTGTATAAAAATCCAACAACCACTGTACATCCTTTGTGATGGCTTGTAAACCTGCGAACCTGTGTTGCAAAATGTCAGCTGATTATCAGAGGAGGGCTGATAAGGAAGGCATGTGTGCTCGTTGGTTATTAACACGCCACGTAAACCGACAATGACGTAAGACCAACGACGTAACGAAGCAAACACAAATACGAATACGAATACCCCAGGACCATCAGGACTTCAGGTTATGGGAGCATGTGGAAATGGCGGATCCTGTTGGGAGAACTGGATACTGAGAGACCTGAGAGACACCCAGCAGGCGGCGGAAAGCGGAGCGAACTTTCCACGGAAAGGCAACCGGAGAGGAGCATTAGCAGAAAGTGGTAATTAAACTAGTTAGGCAACTAATACAAGGGACAGTAGGTAAAACGGTTGGGCACAAAGTTGGGTAACTACTTGAGGCTAATTGAAAAAGTAATTGCCAATGCAGTAAAGTATCCCCTACGTGGGGTACGATGCTAATTGCAATCGGAAAGTAGGTAATCCTTTTCTAATAATGCTAATTGGAAAGAAACTTTAAGCGAAACTAAAAATTTATATATAATAGCCGTTAGAAGAACGTAAAAGAACTTACATTAAAATATTACATTTATTCTTAGAGGAAAACCTATATCCCCTCCTATACCCTCTACTACTTGGGAGGGGAGTATTGAGGCCCGGGCAGAAGTTGATGCCCCGTGATAAAACTGCGGAAGCGGAAAAAATGCCGATAGCATCTGCTTCGGGGGAGAGGAAAAGAGAGAAAGAAACCGAAAGAGGCTACAAAGGAATCGGCGGAATGTTTGCCCAGCCAGTTCGGGACAACTCTCGTCCAGGAGTTGGCTTTTTGCGTATGCCCGACACACGCTGTCTTAAATAAGGAAGCGGCGGGCTGAATGGCAAAGACTGTTATTCACCTGTCTACCCACGCACAGGCTCACAGGACCCGCCTCAACAATTTTCCGGCATATGTGGTCGGGTTTGAGGCAGGGTCTTACACGGCAGAGGACATAAACGATTTGGTTGACTTGGGGGGTTAACCTTGTCGCCTGCATTGCGAGGAGCACCTGAGCCCTGCTGTCGAGTTCAGCTTCCGTTCTGAGGCTTCTCGCAAGGAAATCGGTTTGTCTTCCGGCTGCGACATCCTTTTGCTCCTGCATTTCTATGATTTCAAAGGAGGGCACGGTGCGCGTTGCCCTGGTTAACGAGCTGAATGGAGTATCACCAGGTCGGGGAATGTTCTTTGGCATGCTGAGGAATGACAAACGACAGGAGGTTGGGACAAGCCGTGTAATGGAGGATTCTCTGGGATGATAAACAAGGCTCTGTTGGTGGTTATACTTCATACAAATTAAATGTTCCCCATGTAGTTATCTTAAATAAGTTATTCTTCGCATTAGGAAATGCTTTATTTATTTGCCATTAAGTTTCCACTCCAGCACTCTTGCCAAAATCTCTGAAGTAGCAAATCCATTAAAAATTTCATCAAGCTTGGTCCTCAAATATTTTTCCAGAGCATCCGGCGACCCCAAACAATTTGGCTTATCTCCTCGGGAATCGCTGGAGAAGATGACACTTTATTTTATGTTATTCCTTATGCAGGGCATGTTTACCTCATGGCAGGCCCCCGACCTGCCCTGCCCAGAACCAAGTAGAAGAAAGCAGTTTTGGCCTGGTTTAAAATGCCTTGCGATCTCAGCATTGCTGTGTCATTTTTTAAGCACGGCAAAATTAGCGCAACGAACTCGCCTGTAAGTATGCTCGTACATACATATTTTGCCTTGTTTACGTGTCGTATGCGTAATGTGCCAAGTTTTCATCTTGCGAGCTGCTTTTCGTAGACGTGCCCTGGCAGGCATTTCGGAGTTGAAAGTTAAGTCGTTTAACCTACATGTGGGCCCAAGTACTTAGCCAGATTTGGTGTCAGCTGTGCCACATTTGCCACCTTCCCACAGCATGTCAGCAATTACATTAAGCATACGCACTGTTTCCCACCAACCCTCCGCAAAAGCAAACTCTGTGATGTTGTTTTCAAATGTTTCCATTTATTGTTTTCCTTTTTTGTTGCCTCTCTAGTTGGTTTAAATTAAGAACTCCCCTTTAATCATTGATTTTTTGTCGGGTTCACAAACAAATATACAATATCTGGTTTGTTTTCCTCCTCTATCTCAAATCATTCGCGTTTTGCCAGGCATTCCAATGAAAAGAGTTTGTATGAAAAAACATGAAAAGCAAATAAATATCGCTTTCAAAATGGAAAATGATTTATGCACTCGAAATAACAACCGATTGATGGTGAAACACAAGAGACAATCAACTTTCCGCTCTGGCTACATTATTTAAATATTCAATACGTTTAATCGAAATTTTCGGTTTTTTTGGCCTGCGACGAACATTGAAATGATATTCTTTCTCAATATATACACATACACATATCATATAGTTGTCAATGAGTGTTTAAATGATTTCACTTAGGTGTAAATTAGAACTAATGATAACATTTTATGTTTTATTTTAAGTACAAGGTTGAGAAGACTCTGAGCTTGGGTAACTTGGGTTGGGTGTATCTGAAACGGACCATATGTGGCTACTAATCGTGCCGCTTTCGCATAGATCTTAATTGACTTGAATGAACGTGTGCTGTGTGAGAATGCAAATTAGTTACAGTTTAGTTCCATCAGCTGCCAAAGGTTGCATTAAGGTTATAGTATTACTTCGTTTTCATATAGTTTTTATACATATACAAAAAATTAATCAGTCTAAGTACATTTTTTGTATGCCCTTCGTGTTGGTTTTTGTTTAGGTAGCGTTTAACTTTGACCCCCCGGGAGCAGTTGATTTGATTTCAAACTAAAGTTAAACTTATTCCACATACATGCAGTTAATATATATATACTCGTATATGTGTAAGGTGTGTCCGAGTGTCCTCTCTCCTCTGTTCAGCAACAAATCAACATGGATAAATCATTACGAGTACACAGTACAGTACACACACAATCCGCATCGCGTTAGGTAGGCAGCCTCCCTTCAACTTGCACATATATCACGACCGATCTGCATTTTCCTCCTCCGGCTTACTTAGTTCAAACCCGGACCTCTTCCTCACGCGTACTTCCCGAAGGACCACCTCTGCGTTCCCAGTGCCGAGTTGCAGTGCTGGGCACTCACGCCCTGCTGACTCTGATCTCGGGAGTCCAGGCATACGTTGATCTTGTAGTGCCGCACTAGACCGCCCTCCCGCATGATCCACCGCTGGTTCTCCGAGTCATCGCAGGCCTTCAGCACCACCTGGGAGCCCCGCGCAAATGTCACCAGGGTCAGGCAGAGGTCGTCGTGCTTGATCTCGCCGCGCTTCGTGAAGGCCCACTCCTGATTGCCGCCCGTGTTGTGGCAAGGGAAAATACCTGAGGGGATTACGGTGAAGGAAAGAAAATATTTATAATTTAAATAAAAATGTTTGTCCTTAGTCCTTAGAAAATCCACTTCAAAGCTGGCAGAATTCCTTGTTTTCCCTCTATGACATTTATTTACTTTTTTCGCCAGCCCAACCTTATTAAACTCAAGTAACATGATGTGGATGGACTCGTACTCACCCACAGTGCCGTCGATTAAGTGGCCCATCGTGTCCAAGCACTCCGTGCTATCCTGCCGGAATTGGCCAACCTCCTGTGGGTCGGGTGCCTGCAGGTCGGGATAGACATTCTCCAGATACCATTTGAAGGGCTTGCAATGCAATTTCTCCTTCAAAGCCAGACGGTCATCAATGCTGAGCGGGGAGGGAGAGGCGATAGGAGAAGGAAAACAATGTGAAATAAATAACTTGGCCAAAGTATTTTCTGCACACGAAGAATTTATGAAAAATTTAGAAATTTATTAAAAAGAATGAAAATTAAACGAAGAGGAATTTAGAAAGTTGTTAGATTAGTTTGGAAAGACCAAAAACAACTTCTAACTTGATAGCCACGGTCAAAATCACAGAAGTATATCGTATTCTCTCAGTGTACTCACTTGCCGAAGGGAATGTTCTTGGCCAGTGGCACGGCGTTGTAGTAATGCTGCTTGTAGTCATCCATCCAAACCTCCGCGGCACGTCGCGTGTTCCGGGCAAAGACGTTGCCGCTACCCCCTGGGAAAGTGTAGGGGTGGCGTTTGCGGAAGACGTGACCCACCCGGCTGCAGGGAATAATTTCCAAGCTGCCGCCACACTGCCACACGCGGAACGAGATCTCCAGATTCTCACCGCCCCACACGTCCATCTTCATGTCGTACTTGCCCAGCTTGTTGAAGTAGGCCTTGTCGATGACGAACAGGCCACCGGCAATCATCGGCGTCCGGATGGCCGTGGTGGGGTCATTGTGGCGCATGGCCCGCTCCGAGGGACTGAGATACTCCCACTTGAAGATCAGGTTCCAGTCGAATCCACCTCGTAAGTCCGCCGAGGCTCCAATGTACTGGAAGTTGTCCATGCTGATCACATCGATCACGGGACAGACCACGCGGGTGGGATCTTCGCGAACGCGATCCAGGAGAGGTTCCAGCCACATCTCGTTGCATTCGACGTGGCTGTCGAGGAAGGTCAGCACACTGCTAACGGCAGCATCTGCTCCCTTGACTCTTGACCTCACTAAGCCTTCGCGCTTGTCGTTGCGGATCACCCGCACCTTGTCGATCTTGGCCAGCTCTAAGCCATCCTCAGCTGGAATGGAAGTTGCAGAAATATTGGTAAGTATCTTAAAGATATTCTGATTTCAGTAACCTGGCTAACTAATCTGATTTCAAAAAGGTAAAACTACTCACGATGATCACTGTAGTCATCTACCAGGACAATTTCCCGAATCAAGTGCTCTGGACTGCGGTTGAGGACACTCACAATGGTACGCAGCAAGGTTGACCGCGCCTCGTTGTGAAAGGTGATGATGACACTCGTCTCGGGGAGATCCTCGCGGTATTTCTTGGTCCGGCACCTGGTTCAATGAGATGGAATCAAACTTTAAATGTGCTTCACTCTACGATGGATTCCTTGTAGCTTACATGGGATTCCTGGTGTCGGGTATATCCCTATTGCTGGGCAGAGCATCGCTGGCCTCCTGGTTGAATCGATTTCTGATGTAGGGATCTTCGCCATTGCGCAGGGCTCCCGCTCGAATGTAGCCTGCCTCGTTGAAGTATTCCACCTCGGTGCCACGACCACTTGGAGCCACCGGTAGTCGGCCTCCAGGACCACCTGTTCCTCCACTGAGACCCTGAATATAAAGAAGAATTCGAAGAAATGTCGGGTAATTATCTTGGGACTTGTTAAACAGGCAATTAGTAGATGTTTCTTATGCTTTCATCTGGCGATAAGAGTACTTAATTATTTCATGTTCCCTTTTTTGGGTTTGGTTTTCAGAAAACAACATTTCTGAAGTGAAGTTTTTATCTTTTGCTGATAGCTTGAAAGTGCAAATGAAATTCCACATCGTAATCCTCACCTGCGATGTCTCCTCCAGAGCCACGATTCCATTCAGCTTGAGGCCGTGGACCGCATTACGCTCAAAGTCCTTCACCGACCCGATTAGAATGACATTGCCACCGGGATCGTCGGCCCCGCTGCCAGCTGCTCCTGCCACCGCTCCCGGCAGCGCTCCTCCACCAGCTTGCGCCCACTGGCGGGCAGTGGAGGCTGCGGCCGCCGAGGAGGAGTCGTCCTGGTACTGCTGCATGGCGGTGGCCACCTCACGAAGCCGCAGCGCTCGATTTTCCACCTAAAAGGACACAGAGCCCACAAGGGGAGACAAGTGTTTTAATTTATTTCTTTAATCTGCGCCACATTGGCGACGTTGACGTCCGTTCGGGGCAATAACTCAACTCAACCGGGACCAATTCCGTAACACTCAGGGAAATACAAAACTTAACAAAAACTTTAAGCATTACATTTATAAACTACCTTAAAAAATCATAAAACCTTTGAGATAAACGAAAACTTTTCTATTAAATAAATAACTTAAAAATGGGGCCTTTTTTTAGACATTTTTATTCTTATGGGTGATGATTTTGCTTAGCAACTTCCTGAAAATTGAATACTATTTAATATTTCGACAGTTTTTCGCAGTGCAAAGAGAATGAAAAGGGTTTGGGTCTCGTGCAGGCTTATGGCAAAGTTTCAACAAAGTTTCAGCTCGAAACACAACAGAACAGAGCTGAAACAAAAGGCAAGGCATTGGGAACAGTTTTCGTGTTTGCTCCGAGATTAATAATCTATAAATTGCAAATGTTGCCAGGAAGTGGGAACCAAAAGCCCAGGCCACGACCACGACCCAGTTTAAACAATGTCCAAGATTCCTCGACGACAGTTCTGCTAAAATAACATGGAAAACCTTTTAGGAGCAAGGCCTGAAACATCCCAGCTCCCAGTGCCGAAACTTGTAAGGTCTTTAAACATTATGAATTATAAATAAAATAAAATGCAACCACCTAAAGTTCATTAAACATTTAAACTAGTCTTTAGTTAGAATGAAGAAGTTCAATTGCTTGGCTTTATTAGCTTTGGCCTTGATAAGAAGCGTCTCCTCCAAGTAAATCACACACCCAGACCTGACAGCTCTCGATAAGCAAACAGAAAATACAACAATGTGTCTGGTTCTTTTAAAAATACAGACAAAGCGAGGACAACAATGTCGCCCAGCAGACACCGAAATAACCTTGAGACCAAGCCCAACATGTAGCACCCCTACCTATAGAAGTGAACAAAATGGATGGCAGTCCTACTTGAGGACATTTTAAGTAAATAATTTATAAGTGCCGAGGCACGAAACATCTCAAATGGAAGAGCTGTCGGGTGAAATCTTGCATATCGAATTAAGCTATGCATAAAGAGCATAAGGGGTAGCTTAGTGTTGAAAGCGCCTTCGAAATTTGTTGCAAAAAGGCAATAGGTTTCGGGCAAACCGATTGGAATGGCAACACACCCACAAAGGCGGCCAACAAAGAGCCAGAAGAAGAGCTTCACTTAAAATTAAAATCACGCATACGCAGCGTGCAACAACGGAAAGTGCCAAAGTCAGCTGAAAAAAGAAATCGCTTTCAATACGCTTGCCACACATAAATCAGAGTTAGACGAGAGCCCGATAAAAGAGCTCCTGACAAAACTCTTGACAAATAGATTCAACGCAAGAGGGCAATTAATAACCGGCCCGGCCAATGGAACCCTCTTTCAGGACCTCCGAAATTGGGTCACTGTTTAGTGGAGTGAAATGATACATTTGTCAACTTAGCCGGGTCACTTGGCCAGAAAAGCAGGAGTGAAAGTCTTTTTCTTGACTATCAGCAGTTGTTTGATACTTTTTCGGTCTATTGATTATGTTGGCTTCGACTGGTAGAGCCTTTCCATGACTGGAACGACAACAAATGGCTTCATCTGATTATTAATTTCAATTTATTAATTAACTTGCAAAGGAACGTTCAAAGAACTCAAATTCAGGGCGTTTGCAATTGGCAATATGGCATCCTGCTGCCAATTCTAGTCCAAAGCCGTTTCAACTTTGCATTACAAACACTGCGAGGCTTCAGGCTGGCAGGAGAATCAAACTGTGACCGCAAAGCCCTTCATAAACAAATCGGATTACGCATACGCAGCGTAAGCACAGGAACCAAGATGCAGGCCTTCCAGCTAAGGCATTGTGGCAGGAGCTCTGCATGGAAGTAAGTAATTGAAATGGTCTCTTAATTAGTTCAATTGTTGAAACTTTAAAGGGAAGACTGCGAACAACGATTGGGCAAACTCAGAATTATAATCATTTCTCAGCTTTCAGAGTTATTTTTATCACAAGATGGCGGGAAATAAAACTGAAAACTTTCCTCTCCGTTTGCAAATTTATATGTCCTTTGGGTACCTCGATTCCCATTGCAGGCCGTATCTATTTATGGCAATCCTCGGGAGAGTAATGTCTGAGAAATTATGCGACTGACGTCAAGGGGAAAACGAAACTTTTTGCCCACTCAAAAGGTCAAAGTCAAGACTCGAAATCATCTACTTCGAGCTCATCAAATTCTAGTTTGCTGCGACTTGTCATTATTAGCTTTTGGCAAAAAACTATCATCAAGTTTGGCGTCGAGCTAAACCAGAGCAACAAGTTGCTATAAATGTTTGTAGTTTTTTGGTCATCTCTGGGTTTATCGCTCGAGTTCAATGTTTCCAGCCAAATTGAGACGGAATGGCAAAGAAAAACAAATTGTTTCGAATTGAGTTCAGAGCCAGTTTATGGCATTGATTGTTTTTCGTTTGAGGTCACAGAGAAAATATGGAAATTTCCAAACGATTTTTATGGCGGTATGGCTTGTCTTTATTTCGCCATTTGCCGTTTTCATGATTTGTGGACTAGGATAATAAACTACAGAAATACAAACTCAATTAAGCCGCAATAAATAACTGGAAGCTTAAAAGGATGGAAGTAATGGGTTTCTTACTAGATTTATATGAGCTATGTCTCGACTTTTTCTATTTTCAAAGACCAGCTGAAAGTAGGAGGCTTTGAGTAAGACTTCATTCTGATGTCAACAAAATCTCTCACAATTTAGCAATTTGTAAGACAAATATTTCCAAATTCAATAAAACCGTTTCCTTTTTGCAATGGCCGATAATTGGAAAACTCAGCAAGTCCAGGAACTGCAGGCGAATTCCTTGATGGAGTCCCAGGAGCTGTCCATACCCGATAGCAAGTCCTCCGAGATGGACTTCCCCGCCGATTTGGTGATCAATGATATATTATCCGAGTCCATCAAATCCGAAGATTCCATTGTCAAGCAGCCATCCCCTCACATCTCCTTCCGAGCTCTGGCCCGTCTGGTTTTGACACTCAAAGGAAGTCCCAAGAAGGAACCAACACATCAATCGGAGAACATTGATTACTGGCGTAACCTTGCCGAATCTCGTGGCGAGGCTAATAAACGTTTTCAGCGGGTCATTGAAATCCAACAGAAGAGGATCGATACCCTAGAGAATGATCTGCGTAACCTGATCACCATGGCCCGCGAGACCCAAAAACTGCTGGCCGAGATCGGAGTCGAGAAGAGGGCCAGCCAAGAACTTGGCCAAGGCGAGACTGCCAACTAGATTTTCCACGATTTCTACTTTCGAACATTCTTTAGAAGCTTTAATAAACCAATAGTTCATGTTTACTTAGTTATGTTTTAAAATGATATTGATTCTGCAAAGAAGTAGAGTACCTTTTGCTAATTAGAGGTTTGTTTTCCATTTTCTAATTAGTGACAATTTTCCGAGTTTTCCCTGTTTTCTTTCACCGCTGTTTTCTTTGCACGATTTTAATTTGCTTCTATAATCTGACGGTGGTGCATGTACTGCTCCCCCGAAATCGCTCAACCTTAACCATTATTTGGTTTTATTTTGCTGTCTGTTTGTTTGGTCGCGAGTGGAGCGGAGATTTCTTTAATCTCGAGTGGGGCTCCGTGTTTTTACCACAGCGCCTGAGTCTGAGTCTGAGTCTGAGTCTGACTCTCTGAACGTGTGCAGTCTTCCAGCTGAATGATTTTCACATCGAAAGAGCTCCTAACTGCATAATTTAGTAATTGGAACGTATCAAATTTAGTTTTCACCCATACAAGAAAATGCCAAGAAACGAGCAGGCGAAACTTTATCACTTATTGCAATCTGTTTCTGGCTCGGCTTTTCCGTTGTTGTTTCTCTTTTAGCATTACAAATCAAAGGCTTTGGGGCGCCACACCCAATATGGGCCACCTCGAACAGCTCCCAAGAACAACAGAATTCAATTAAAAGTCTATGCACGCCATTCGAAACCAAAAATATTGACAAATGCTCCTTCTCCCTGTCGTCGGGCAGAGAAAAAGCCAAAAAACAATGCGCCCATTGAACTCGAACTCGAACCCTGATAAAAATTGTTTATGCCACATGTCATGGGCCCACAGTTCTTGTTTCTCGGCATGTTGGCCAGGCATTTTGGGACACACACAAACAGCCAATGCGGTAGAACTTTATTTTACCAAAAAAAAGGTTTCACTTCATCGGAATAATCAAAATGTTGTCCCAGAAAGCTTCATGGAATATCTTACAGAATATTTTAGTAATCATTTTACACCACTCGCTGTGTTGCCTTTCTTACATATTTTAGAGTACATAAAATTCATTTTTAACAACGTTTTGGTTTATTAGAAAACATTCCCAAGAAACTCAGCTTTCATCAGTTTCACTTTCAGACATTTCCATTATTTTGATTTTTACATTTCGTTGGCACTTCCCTCAAGTATTTAATGATTGATTATAAAACTCTCGACTGCCGTCGGTTAATTTCCTAAAGCACGAAAAGAAAGAAGATCTGTATCTTCTTTTAATGACATTTTGTGGGCCGACACTAGACAAGAGTTTAATGTCAACCAGAAAGCGGCAGACAAAAGGCCGAAACAGATGATGAGTCGATGGCCAGACAAAGTGGATCGGTAAAATCGAGAAAAGTGCCCAACGAGCCGTGAAAGCGGATGGAATCCTCTTGGCAAACAGAAGCATAATTATCTGTTATGTTTGGCCAACACCAGCAATGGATTGACCCAACAAGTTAATGGGAAAACTCGCATGTGCCCCCGTTGGCTCCACACCCCCGAGTTTCTGATTTTGCGATTTTCCGCTGATGGACGATTGTCTGATGTGTGGTGGCAACTGCAGTTGCGTTATGCAACTCTTCTGTGGCATGGAAATTGTCTGCCTTGCCATGCCATGCCAACCAAATTGCGGCCGCATCACCAGCACCAGCAATTCCAAATTGTTTTGGTAGCAAAATTTGTGTGGCATCTTCGTCGTTGTCTCCGCTTCTTTTTTGGATTTATTTTTATTTTTGTTTCTCAGCTGGCTTCCTCATGACAGCAGCTGCAGTTGCGGCCAACAAGTTCCCCTTCGTCTTGCAAAACTCAATTAAATATATATAGTTATTTGCTTTTTGCCCGGCTTTGATCTTCCTTTCTATTTCTGCTAAGGTCAGGCTGTAAATCAGGCGGCAAAACGGGCTTACTTTGTAAAGTTTACTAGGATTATAGGAGGTATAGTATGGTTCCCAATTAAGGAGATTGGCCATCTTCAGTTTTACTGCCCAATTTGGGATTCATATATTTATCATTGCCAACCGAAAAATATTAGTTTTGAAAATGTTATGAGTATTAACATTATTTCTGCCAGTAATACAGCTATAAACATTTTTAGCATCGCTTTCAGTAGTTCCCACTTAATACTGTGTCTAGTTTCGGTCATTTCGGCCTCATATTTAGCCAGGGCCACAAACATTTTGTGGTGCCACCCCGCCCTGGAGCATCGTTTGCAGTTAGTGGTCCATGCAGATGAAGCTGCAATAAATTGCAAGTTGCTGCCGGGCGGCAGCTGTTGCATGTTTGAGGTTTTGGGCCTGTGTGTTTGCGGATGTTTTGCCTCCAAATTGCCACTGTGAGTGACTTTGCCTAACTGCCTAACATTGGCCCAGCCCGCCATAAAACCCACAAGACAAGGGGCTGCTGTTCCTCGGTTGCGACATTAGATCTCTCCATAAAATACATTGAAGTGCTTTGCCTGAATTTGTGGGCTTCGAGTCTGGATCCCCATCAAATGCATTTCGCCACGCCTTCTAGCTTAACCTTTGACACTCCGAAAGAAAGGGGAATATCAATTAAGGCCATTTCGGAAATTAGCCCGAGAAATTCACGCCTTACATCCATTAACGCACTTCATAATCAACTGGTGGCCCCGAATGTGGGTCATCCATCAGAGCGGACTTGAGCCGAAGTCGGACTCGCATATAGATGGCTATGTATAACAAATTGTGGATATTGCTCTGTTCCCTGGCTTTTTCTATTATGTCAGGCCAGTCAGTCGGCTTCTATCTCCGTCTCCGTCTCCGTCTCCGTCTCCGTTTGATTGTTTTCCATTTGGTCTGGCTGAATGTGAATGGGTGACTCATGGCCATGTAGACTTTTCAATGATTAAGCGCAATTGGGAGTCCGGCAGCTGGTAACGCCCTCGAAAGAAGGCAGATAAAGAAGATATGTGGATAGGCACAGTGGGTCATTTATCAATATTTAGATATATCTATATATCAGGAGTGTTTATGGGAAGAAACATACTAACAATACTAGCTAACATATTCCTAACTTTTCAAGGAGTTTCAGGGCAGTGTGCGATCTGAGAGGTCGGCAGATGTCATCAGTCAGGCTAGAGTGAGCTCACCATGGCCCGTTGTGGGATACACAATCGCAGCAAAGAGATACATCCGAGACAGCCCAACAATCAGTTGATGGATGCACTGTTTGCAGAGGGTGGCCGGGCGGACAAATTGCCAGAAGCTGGTGACAATCGGAGCAAAAACAAAAAACTGTATATAGATGGAAAATAGAAACGACAAATGCGGAGTCATGTTAATGTAGAGACTTTTATCTAGTCTCTGGTTGCAGTACATTTGTATCTCTTTTGGTCTGCTGGAAACTATTTGCTTGGGGTGAAACTAATGCAAAATGTAGATGACCTCAAAACCATCGGTCGTGGTCATTGCGGCATTTATTTATTTGCACTCCAAATTGCTGTTCATTCGTTTCAGCCGGCAATGTTTTAATTAGTTTATTAGCAACGTCCATCCGGCTAAATATTTAACCGCATTTCAATAAATGAGCCAGCAGCCAATCACGATAATCAAGCGGACTAAACATCGAAACTGTCGCATTGCCGTGCCAGAGATTTATTCGCCGATCAATGTGCGATAGTTTATAATTTATAATTTATAATTTTCATTTAAGCATCTCTTAAATCTTGTTAAATGCCAAACATTGAAAGTTTTAATTACGCGTTAGCCAAATTGCAGTAGTGGAGGGGCGGCTTGGTCTATTTTAATTTATTTTTAAAAACAATCACCGCTTAGTGTTCGATGTTTGCCCTTTACTTGTAATCCAAACAAAGGCAGTAAAAAACCAACATCTTCGACTGTGGGCCATAAAAAAGGAGAAGCCAAAGGAGGAGGTGAATGCCACCGCTTAAGTGGCTGAAAATGCCCGAAAATCGCCGAGTAAAAAGCCAAGACGGGGAAGCCAGGAAAGAGACCCCATCAGGCATTTTTGGTATTCAGTTGGCTAATAGGAGATAAAATAAAACGAACGGCTGCCTGGCCGACAATTGGAGACAGTATTACATGCATTTGAATTGTCTTCGGGTCTGGTTGGACTTTCTCGACTTGTTCAATTGTCTGGCTTTGCCGTTCCAGTCCGTACTTTCACTTGCCTGGGCTTAAAGCCGCATTTAAATGATCATCTTTAAATTGACATTTAAATGTATTTCGGATCATGAGTCACGAAAGAAGCTCTCTTTCGGAATTAAAATGTCAAAGTGGTTTTGTAGATGAATTTAAATGAAGAAGAAAGCCGCTTGATGATTATGTAGTTATCGGAAATTAAGCGAAATTAGATAGGGTTCCTCTTTTTCCCCTCTGTTTTAGTTTTTTTTAAGCTATTTCCTTAATTTAAGCTTAATTTTGGGATCATCTGAAGGTCATAACATCTTCATAGCCCAGAAATGGGTGACCCACATTAAAAAGGCATCCGTCTCATCCATCATTCCCACGCCCCTCCATCTTCTTGTCGTTTCCCAACTCCAGCATCTGCCCCTTATTAAATAATAATTATTTAATACCCAAAAAAACAAAAAAGCTGCATTTTTGTTTGGCCGTGTTTGTTTGTGTAATCGCCGGCAAGTGGCACTTAACTTAAAGTGTTGTTATTTCTGTCTTTGTTTTCCCTTTCGACGGCTTGTGGGCGCCACCGGACTCCCTCATCATGCGCGTTGTTAACTGGTTGTTACTTTGTTTGCGGCCCCTCTCCTTTCGCTGGCCTAACTTAATGAACTTGAACTTTATGACGCAAAACACGTTAAGTTGACGAGTGTTGGGCAAACATGGCATACAGTATATGTGCATGTATCTCTTGGCGCTTTATGCTTATTTCTGTAACATTACTTTCGAGTTAAGTGATGATGTTGGGTCTTTGGAGATACATGGGGTTTGCGGGTCAGTTGGCCAACTGGGTAAAGGTTAACCATTAGTGGTTTAAGCATCTTGTTTAGTGCTTGGGGATCAGCACTTGTCAAGACCTCGTGATTTACCAAAGACCTTTGCAAAGATCACTTTATGTGTCATCGATTCCCTACAGGCATCCACATCTGCTCTACTCCATTGACAAGCTTTTTTATTGCTAGTTTAAAGTTCATCGTGGCCCAGCTTCCATTATCCAACTTCTACAAAAGAAATCACTTCCCTGGCCACATTTATCATTGTTATTCCGTTTTTGGGAGTCTGCTGCTGGCCGCAATAGGAAGCAGTCCAAGCAAGTTGTAAAATCACAATAAAAATCAGCCCAACGAAATTGAAAGTGGCCCGGAGGCAACTACCGAAAGTATTGGCGAAGGCGATGACCGGTTTTTAAACAGAGAAAAAAGTGTTAAGAAACCAAAAGGTAACAAAAGGTAAGTTATTGTTAGAGACATTCTTTAATAACTGATAATAAAGTTTAAGATTTGTGCAGACATTAAGTTACATAAATAAGATTACAAACTTAATAAAAAATCTAAAAATAAATCATGCGTGTGATCCAGCCGTCAAAGCCATACCTGTTTACTGTAAACTTACAAAATGAAGTAATATGAAATAGGATACATTTCTCTCTGTGCAAATCGAGACCAGCCAATAAGCGAATGAGGTGGATGAGGCCATAAGCGAAACCAGACGACCTTGTCTCGATGCGTTGGGTTGCGGTTAAGTTACGCAATGGACGAGAGCAAAAAGAAGGCGGGAGAAGCGGCTACACTTGCCAAAGAAGCTGCGGTCTTAGCCGCCCAGGCAACCAAGACTAAGGCGGTCGACACCGCTGGAGCGGCCAAGACGAAGGCGGGGGAAGCTGCACACACTGCCAAAGAAAAGGCGGGGACAGCTGCTTCTGCTGCCAAGGAAAAAGCAGGGACGGCTGCTTCTGCTGCCAAGGAAAAGGCAGGGACGGCTGCTTCTGCTGCCAAGGAAAAGGCAGAGACAGCTGCTAGTGCTGCCAAAGAAAAGGCATCACATGCTGCAGTTGCAGTCAAAGAGACGGTATCGAATGCTGCCATTGCAGTCAAGGAGAAGGCATCGAATGCTGCCATTGCAGTCAAGGAGAAGGCATCGAATGCTGCCATTGCAGTGAAGCAGAAAGTTGTGGATGCAGCAGAATACACCAAAGAAAAGGCCACTACAGCGGCATCGGCCACTAAGGAAAAGTCCAGTGCAGCTGCCGATGTTGTTAAGGCAAAGGCATCGTCCACAGCGATCGCTGCCAAGGAAACAGTGGCATCAGCAGCAGTTGCAGCCAAAGACACGGCAGCCGCAGCCAAGGATAGGGTTGCCACTGCAGCAGCCACGGCGAAATCAAAAGTTACCAAGCCCAAGGAGGAGCCGGAGTTGCCATAACAGCAGCAATATGTGTGGCAGGAAGGTGCTTCCTAAAATAACAGTATCAACAGAAGCCGCAACATAATAAACCACATTTCAGCATGAATAGCTGCAGAACAACAGCAACAGCAGCGGCAACATTCCGCCTTTAAATCAGCGGTCACAGCAGCAACATCAGCAAGCACGGCAGCAACATGAACATCCCCCGCAGCAACACAACAGCAGCGGCAGATGGTCCGATGAAAAACAAGGCGGCCTGAGGCAAATTGAGAAGCAGATAACCGGTTAGGGCATTCAAAAATTTTAAATCCACAGCCGGTTGAGCGAGAAGATTGTCATTTGGGCCTACTGTGACCTCTACTCCGGAGGAACCCCCTTTGGCCAGCCACTCCCCTCATTATCCCTCTTTCTCTCTAACTTTTCGACCCCAAATTAGCCAAACAAAATCAAAAGTCAAGCCTGTCTGTAGATAGACATCGTTAATTATTCATAGTAAATCAAAGCGTTCACCAAATGCCAAAGAAGCAACTAAACTTTGTAAATCCAACTGGCGGCTGAGAGGTTCTTCTTCTTTTACATTTGTTGTCATTGACGGCCGAAACTTAAAAAGTCCAGCCAGACAAGTTTTCTGATAAAATGCTAATTTGTCAGGGGCCAAGATGCCTGTCATAAGGTGACGAGGGGAAATTAATTGGTACATGGGCTTTGGAGAAGGTCTAAGAAATGTGTTTCTGTGATAAATATTAGATTTGTGAAAGTAGTTCTGCTTAGATTACTCAGAACAATTAAGAGATCTCTATTAAAACTCTTCCAAATAAGACTAAATTCAGCTTTTGTCTCACTTTAATTGTCCACCATTTGAAACCAGTTTAATTGCCAAGCTCGATCATCGCTTCTATCGAACTTAATTGAAATTAATTTCGAGCTTTTTCAAGAGCAAATGACTTTTTTGCCGTATCTTTGGCATTCTCTGGCAGTGAGTTTTTTATCCCCATCTGCGGGTAATGCGTTGTGGATTGTCAACCAGAGCGTAACTTGCCCTGTCACGCAGATTTTAAGTTTGCTTTTTTGTCTACGGATTCTGTGTTTTTTGTACATAGACTTGTGTTTTTTATGGTCCACTTTGATATGCAGGGCTATAAATCGAATTCATGAGGCGTTAAGGTCTTCGAAAGTATTTTAGTTTGAACTTGAAATATTTATAACACATTTCGGCACTTTTTGCCCCTTTTTTTGGCAAGGCCATAAAAGTTAAATGGCAGTTTTCTGTAATAGATTTTTGCAGCGTTGCATGTGCGAAAATCGAAGAGCCAACTGCTGAGCAAAGTTTGTGCCTGAATTTGCATTTGTGATGGCTTCATTTGCATGTGGAACATCTTCGAGTGTCAGGCCGAGGGAAATTATGGATGTGTACTGCTGTTACAAGCGAAATTTAAACTTAAAGAGATTTATTTTTAGTTTCAAACATACACTTTTCTTACTGTTCTTCATTTAAATCCCTTAAAAACATGGCCAAAAGCTGTCGTGACCCCAGACGAAAGCGGAAAACTTTGGCAACAAAAGAGAAAGTTTAATTTTAAACTCTATTTTGAGAAGCTGCGGGAATTCCAAATGGTTAACCAAAGTAATTAACGCACAAAAAGAAAGAAGACAAACAAAAGAGGCGAAAACTAATCAATCGGTTATGTAACCAACGCCCCGCTGCTAACAATTAAAGTAAATTAAATGTGTGATTGACTTGTGTGCAGGTTTTTGTGATTATTTTTCCATTCAAAATCATTTGCCGCTCTCGTTTCGGATGGGCCATGATGGGGCAGAAAACTTGGATATGCTTTTTATGAATGAAATGTCATTGAATGGCAAGACTTGGGAGGCCAGATGTAAGCCATCGATCGGATGGCTCTCAAAGTGGATGAGAAACTGGTTATGGGTATAGCGAGCTAAAGATAGACTTTAATTATGCCCGAAATTTCATTGCCATCATGGCACTTGACATATTTAAAGATTAAGTGGCTTACATATAGCAAAGATATTTATAAAATATTATCAAAAATACACTGATAACTGGCACGTATTCCTCGTTCTCCACCCACTTAATTTGTCGCAGATCCTTAACTAGAAAACCCAAAAACTTGAGGATTTCTTTTTATAAATATTTGCCATTAAAAACAGCCGTAATCAATCTTCCGATAATGTCAAATTCTGCACACTCAACAGATCATCAAACAAGCTTAATCTTATCAACAAAGTTTGCGGCCTTAATACAGCTGGTTAACAAAATAACTAAATGATTAAAGGTGGTTATCAGAAGTGGAAAATACTACCAACGAAAGTAGTAAAAATTATTAAAAAACCAATGGCCAGGAGTCCACAGAGTGAGTTGCATTTCCTGCATTTCGTTTGCAGAGCAAAAAAGGAAAATAAATCAAGTTTACATGAAAAATTATTTCGGAACGGCGGGGCAAAGAAGATGATTGCTATGGGAGAAGCTGTTCCAGAGGGGGGAAAGGCGAGGACCAAAAGTGGCTGGAGCTTCGCTTTTGACCACGACTCTGGTGTGGTTGATGATGATGGCCATGATGGTGATGTCGAAGCGGGAGCCTGAGGAAATATATGTGCGTATTTGCACCATAATCGGCTTCATTTGTGCAGATTTTCGATTCAGCTTTTAAACACTCTGCTTTTCTGCAGCCTTTTCCATAATTAACTTTTCCTCAATTGAAAAATCATTTTAAGGGATCAAAAGTGTAATTAAAAGAGCTTTAATTAATTATTTTCTCACTTATTGCATTGGCAAGAGTTACAGTTAAATTAAACTCTATTTCCATTTCAACATCAGTCTCAAAAAAGCTTTTAAAATATTTTTTAACCAGTTTGTCTTCGCTTTTTTTAATATTTTTTGGTTTCTGCTCAGTGGCTTGGCTTTTTAATGGCACATTTTTTATTTTTGCGGATAACAGAAAGGCCATGAATGCCAGAACATCTCTCAAAGTGGTCAATAAATTTAAAGTATTTTTTATTTAACACATTTAAAGCTTCTGAAAAAAAGTGACTGCCAGCGAGGTTTTTTGCCATCCGCAGACCTTGTTTTATTTGTTTTAGCGAACATGTAATGTACCTCCCCCCCCTCCATCCCCATCGGTAAAAAGTAAAAAATATATTTGAAATTGCTGAAATAAATTGACATTTCGCCTCATGTGAGGGTGAATTTCCTTCCGTGTCGTGCAGGAAAATATTTGTTTTCTCTGCAGAAAACACAATCGAAACTGCCGCTGCTCTTGCTGGCTGGATAAAAAAGCAAACACAAGGAACCAAATTCAATTGAAGTTCGGTGAGGGGGTGGGACGGGGCAAATACAATCTAAAACCACATAATAAAGTTAGTATAAATTCTAGCTATAAGTGGGATAAGCTACGAGTGGAATTTGTAGAAAACAAATTGTTTTTCTAATGGAATATTTTAAAGGTGCAAGGAAACTTTGTGTTCCTTGACCCAAATGATATGTGAAGGGTTGTTAGCCATAAAGATAATATTAATGGTGGTACTTTATGGCCTATTATTTTCTGCACTAAAAAGCCAACTTCTGATAGGAAGACCCCCACAAAAGTATCTTTTTGCAGGCCAAAACTGTCACAATTTCCCTGACAAATAGTCCCAGAATGCTAACAACGAGTGTATGACTTTGTTATATGACTGCCGACTGACAAGCCAAAAAAAAAAGTTAATTAAAACTTGTAAAGTAAGCGACAAAAATACAGGTGGGCAAGGGCTCGTGGTGGTGGCACCTGGCTAATTACGGGGGTGTGAACGGGAAGGGGAAAAGAAAAAGAGAAAACAATGGGTTATCAACTTGGTGGCATGCCATATACGGTGGCAATCCAATGATTACTATGCAGGGCGGCATACGCAATGCCATCATCGAGGTGTAGTTGGCAGAGATAAAAGATAATGATGACTCAGACGGAAGAGGAAGGATCCGCTTTCAGTCGGAGTACGCTTTTTGGCAGCTATTTGGCATGGCCCGAAAGGTAAGCTGAAAAAGTGCTGCCATGATGGGGAGTGTAGTCAAAGTGGTAGTGGAGTAGGGGGTAGTAGTTGCAGAGTTTGAAGATAAGAACAAATGAGATAAAGTAGGGACTGCTTATGATTAACCTATATACTTATATATAAATACCATAAAGGTAAGTGGATATCCTACCTACAGTATCTCTAGTAAAGTATCTTTAAGTTCTTCAGACTCACCTTCTCCGTACTGGACTGGAAGTAGTAGACCATCACGAACATCCAGATGATGCTCACGAAGACGATCAGTTTGATGTTGCGACGCATTCTGAAGCAGTTTTAGTTATTTGTTTAACTCCTAAGTGGGTTGAGGACGTATCACTGCGATTTCGATATTATTTATTTACTTTTTGGTGCGGTTGATTTGGCAAATGATTATGCGGCTTTCACTGCAGGCAGAACAAAAGCATTGAGGTGAGTGTAAACAATATTTAAATTTAATTTTCGTATCTGTTTCAATTGTGCTTTCATTCTATTTGTGTTTTTGTTTTTGCTTTGCACTATTTTCCATCATTTCCATCTTCCACTCCGATCCATTCGATTTAATTGTGTTTGCGTTTTAATTGTCCGACTCTGTTCGGCTTAATTCGATTGGATTTAATTAGGCCTGTTCATGAATGCAAGCCGATTATCTGGAGCTTTAAATGGTTTTGGCATTTAATTCTCTTCTTTTCACGAAATAAACTGCCCGCAGGGACTTTCTCGCCAATGTTTATTTAAAGTTATTGAGAGCAATTAAAGGAGTGAATGCATATAAACTGTATCGAAATTAAAATAAACAAACTTCTGAAATGTTAATTAAATTTAAAAAGTGACAAAGACCCTGAAATATTCAGTTTATAAACAGAAGTATGTTTGCCCTATTTATCTAATCCAAGGGGCTTTATCAGTGGGGGAAACCTCAGACACCGATAAGACTACCCACAACCTCACAGCTAAGTAAAAGGTATTTTCCCACTTTTAACCATTCTTAGGGCCTCCAAAATTACACCACACACACTTTTAGTAGCTGCTAATTAAACACTCCTCCTAAGCCCAAAAACGGTAACGTTTTATTGTGATTTATTTCTGGTCAGACGCTGGGAAAAGGGAAAGTGAACCGCAGCTGTTGGCCAACTTGATTTAAGCGTTTTTCAATTGGGTCCCAGACCGCGTTCAAGCATTACGCATACGCAGCATGTTACCCTCGCCGAGATAAGATTACAGTTCACTTCTTCTCCCATTTATGGTAATGTTTTTGTTTTTGTTTTTGGCCTATAGCCTGTAAATCACAAGAATAGACCACAATTGACCGCTGTCTCTTCACGAGCATTATCGTTATTGTTTTATCGCTCTGCCATTCGCCATTCACTTGTTCTCATTATATTGCATTTACCGTTTTGTCGATTATAACGACTGTTGCTAACACGACTCTTTTGGATTTCAGACGCTGCCCGTGGCAGCCGCGCTTTGCCACCAAACACCAAAAAAAGCGCCGACTTTTGGCTCGTTTTTGGGGCCTGGCTAAGACGGAATCGGAGACGAGACACGCGGCAAACGGCGTCGCATCGACAAATGGCCAAAAAGCGCAGCGGTCGCCTATATTTTATGCTGCCGATTCCAATTGGGTGTCAGCCGTATAAGAGTTGCGTTCGAGGCGACTCTAGCAGCGAGCCTCGAACATCGAACATCGAACAGCGAACATCGAACCTGCAACCTGCTCCAAGCCCATCTTCTATATCTTCGCTGACTTGATTAAATTACTACTTTTGTTTTTGTTTGGCTAGAAGAGGGCTTTTGCCAGCCAAGTTTGAGACAGCTTTCGCAATGTTTTACACAGTGGGAAATGGATTTTTAAGCAATTCTAATATGAAGAGATTTTTATAATATCAAGTCGATAGAATATAAATTGCTTGCTTGTGCTTAAACAACAAACCTCTTAAAAGAGTAAAGAAAGATCATTCTACTACCTTAGAAGTTGATTGCATTTCTCTAAGTGTACTTCTCTAACTCGAAAAGATGTAAAGTTGATCGAGAGCTTGCAGAGTACGCGGTCTGCGGTTTGTTTCAGTTTTATGAATTTAAATTAGCACTCTTTGACTAGCAAGTGTTTGCTTGTTCTGCATTAATCCACCAATTTATAATGCTTTCACACAAAATACTTTAGCATTTTCTTCTTTGATGCACTTTCCATCCGCATTAGGTTGTTCTGCATAGGAAAAGTCCTTGAGATGAAACCAATACAATACATAGAAAATGTTTAATACTCCTTTAGTATTACAATTATTTTCCTCTTTATGATATATTGATTTCATGGGGCAATAAACAACAGCATAAACTAAACCTAATATAAATATTGAAGGGAAAGGGATCCTATCTAAACGCTTATACAAATTTTATAAATAAACAAAGTTTATTAATATTAACTTCACCAGTTTGAAATTAATATTTTACAGCAGAGCCTTTATTTCTATTTGCATTTTGATATCATTTACATCTATTAATATTTCAAAAGTTTTTATTGGGTTTTGGTTTTTGCGTTGGCTTTGGCATAAATAAAATATTTACCAAACTGCAATTTATGGCCGTGGGCCGTGCTTACTTTTTGCCTGATTTGCATTAAGCGAAGTTTAATTTTATATCTGTTTTACGCTTTTAATGCAATCCCTCGGTTTGGATTTTTAAATACGTCTAATGAAATATGCATTCAAATTGCAAGAACAAATTAAATTATGCAGATTTGAAAGTTTTCCCGGCAACAATGGTCAGTTGCCTTCTGCTTTCCCGTCCTCCTCTCCGCAGTGGCTGTAAAAAATATGTGCTTTATTTATAAATAGCGTATGTGGGCCAATCCAAAAAGGGATACTGAAGAGCAGGAAGGATGGACAAGTGGTATCCATCCAGTTCCACTTTCCCCGCACCCGCTCAGCCCACTTAAATTGGCTTAAAAACTCAACGAGCAGGCAACAAAGTCATGAATATGCACACATTCATCGGTGTAGGTGGGAAGGAGGAAAAGGGGAGGGAAACAAGACAGCCAACTGAAGAATTCTCGAATAATTACACAAACACAAATGCACTTGGAATCATACACACATACATACACGCAAGCAAAGCGAAAATTCGTTTGGCTGTGTGCGTGCGGGTTTTCCATTAGGCGTAATTAGAGCATTTAGCATCGGGGAAAAAGTTAAGAAAAGCCAACAGCAGAAACTGACAGATTGGGTTGCATATGTATGCGGCACTCAGATACCGTTAGCCCAAGTTGCATGCCACACAAAGATACACTTGTATTTGCACACACGCATCATTGCTCTTCTACCACTCAGACAATTAACTTAAAGTTGGCAAAAGTTGCAGACGGCAGCTGTGCTGGCTGCCATTTCCTTGGGATCTAGTTCATAAGCTTGCTTATTTATGTTTTCTCAAATTAGAAATTAGTTCGAGAACTTACTTCGAAATTGAGTATTCTAAAACTGTTTTAAACCAAACAATTCTATTTAGTAAGCTTCCGAAATAACGTATACGACATGTAGTACAACATTTTGAATTTGTTCCTAATGACAGCCTGATATAAATATTTTTGGATATAAATTAGAATATTGTTGAATGTTCTAAGGAAACAGCTTAATAAAATGCATCTTCAAGTGTCTTAGGAACCAGTTCCAAGTGCCTGCAGCCAGCAATTTGTGTATTTCCCAGCCACATCCACATCCTTGTCTCGAATCGACTTTCAGTTCAAGTACGATAATTAAAAGTTGGCTAAATGTTGCATGAGTTGCAGGTTCCTTGAGATGGGGCTCCAAAGCCCACACCCCGCCCCTTTTGCCACACTTTTAGCTACTGATTCTGGTCCTTTTGCTCCTTCTTCGTTTTTATGGCTGCCTGGCCACATCCATTTGATTGCACACCATTTGCCACTTGCCACTGCTGAGTGTCTGTGTGTATGTGTGTGTGTGTGGGGGGGAGTCTCACCTCAGTGAGGAAGGCAGCCGAGTCTCAACTGCATTGCACATTTAACTGTCATCTCGTTTCCTTCAGTCGATATGTGAGTGGGTGCACTTAGATAATCATAATGTTTAAGTTGGAGAAATATAGAATATATTATAAGGGGAAGCTGATTTTTTAGGGGTCGCAAAAGGATGAACTTTTCCAGCTAACTATTTTTTAAAGTAAACAAAAATAAGTACACTTTTTCATTGAGAATGTAGTATATACAACTTACAACCTGTTTCCCTCAGTGCATCTCTTCTTAAATCCTTTTTTTCACCACCCATCTCCCTCTTACGGAAATCAAAGTGTAAATGTATTTTGTCAAATGCTGGCGCAAAAGTTTCCTGTTCTCGCTGTCAGCTTCCTTTCTGCTATCGCCCCACCCCTTGGCATCTTGCCATCCTGCGGAAATGTTGAAAATATTGCAAGAAGGCGTGTTGCTGCCGCAAATTAATGCATAATTGCATTAGTCACTTCATTTGTGGCAAGTGCTGCAGGAAGTCTTGCTTGCAACCGCCGAAATTCGTTGCAATTTATATCAAGTGGATGGGTTGGGGTGGAGAACATGAAATGGAAATGGTGAAAACAGGTGGAAATCTAAGGGGAAGCGTGGGTGGGTGCCTCATGTCCTTAAGTCTGATAACTGGCATTAAGTCATGTGTTATCATATGGGCGGGCAGAAGGAGATTTATTGCGCTTTGAAAAGGACTCAAGTATGAGGTGGCTGTGATAAAAGCGTTTCCTGATTATAATAGGCAGAGCAATGCAAATGGTTTCCACTTGAGCTTAGAATTTTGAATTTCCAAGGATTAGTGTAAGCTGATTAGTGAGTTTGCTGAAAACAATGCTTGGATTAAGCTCTTCATAATAAAATAAGGATATTTCTGTCTTTTCTATCTGACTTTGAAGGGGGTGCAGATTATAATGTACCTGAATAATCTTCAATGTAAAACTATGTAGCTGGATGTTTATTAATGGATACAGTATAAGTTACATCTTTTGATAAATTTGCCTGCTAAATAAATATGATATGTTAGAGAGAGGGAGCAGAATTAGCTTTTGTCAAAAAAAGTAACAATATTTTCTAAAAAAAACTTTAAGTAAAGATAATTCAGAAGTGAGAAAGTTTTAAATTGTACTTAAAGGACTTCTAATATTTTTGTTTGGGCGTACTCTCTTGTTCTCTTTGAGTTTGTTGCACTCAAAAGCCGGCCTTGGTTCTCGCTCTCTTGGACTCTCTCAATGCAGCCAGCTTTCGGAATGGTAAGGGTGGCACTCTCCCGCGATTAACGATGGTCAAACTTTAGGTGGGTAACCCTGGCTCTCTCGCTCACACTCTCTCTCTCTTTGTCAATTTCCCATGGGGCTTCATAACAAACTATCCATCAGCTGCTCCATACATACGTCAAAATACACATACATATATATACATATATAGTAAGAAGCAGCGTTGTTTTTGCTTTCGGCACGCGCCTCTTTCGACTTTGTTTGCCTGCCTTCGATTTTTAACAAACAAACGACAGAAATGCCAAATGCAGAATGCTAATGGCAAATGCAATCGCAAACACAAACGCAAACACAAACAAATGCAAATGCCTTAACATTGATTAGTTGCAGTTTTGCTTACACTGAAAATGCGATGTGAACACGGTCTTTTATCACTTCTTTTATGAGTTATGGACTTATGGTTTCTGATTATTGCTTGCGCTTTTCACATGACTTTTGCTGGTTTTAAATGCACTTTGGTGATTCGGTGTTGGCTAGATTATTCGTACAAGGCGTGTGTACAAAAATATACGCTTAGCTATTTGTAATTTGTTAACATCGGGTTATTTAATTTAATTTAATAATTAATCATTTGTTTGGTTGCTGCAACGCGGCGACTTTCGTTTCCCGTTTCGTTCGACAGACTGAACTTTTTTGTCCCGTTGTCTGTTTTGTGTCTCTTTTTCGGGTTGTTTTCCTCCCCTCTTTCGCTGTTTCTTTTTGTTGTGCCTTTTTTTTTTGGATGAAGTAACTTTTCTTCTTCTTTTTGTCGCGCATTTCCGTATTTTGTTACCCTTTAGCTTCCTTCTCTTTGGGTTTGACTCTCTCTCTCTCAGTTCTTGGGGGTGGCTTTTAACGGGGAGAGAACTTTCTCGCTCTTTGCTTCTCAACTCATTTGCGCATGCGCAAACCTTTATTTTGGTATTTTTTAAATGCAAATACCGTTGCAAGTAGATTTGCAGGGTTTGTCAAG